GTTGGCCAGGGGTTTGGGTTTGGGTTCGGGTGGGGCCTATTAACGTTTTTGTCAATGCACTTTCTACACTTACGCTACGCTTGGTCTTTGAAGTGTCTCTGATCTGACGTTGGCCAGGGGCTTGGGCTTGAGTTCGGGTGGGGCCTATTAACGTTCTTGTCAATGTACTTTCTATACTTGCGCTACGTTTGGTGTCTGTTGTGTCTCTGATTTGGCAGCTAGCACATAGTCTCCAGTGCATTTTAGACTTTAATGGCTTGGAATGTTCTTTCCAACATGGAGTGTGCGTCAATGGCAATGGCGTTGGAACTGCGGTAACAGCAATCTGGCTTGTAAGTTGGGCACGCAGTTGAACCAACGGTGACGCAAGAGGTCGCGCGCAAAAAATTGGTCCGAAACCCTGTGTTTTCGCGATTTTCAGATGATTCTTGATCAGACCACCAAAAAAACGTGATTTCGCCTAGGCGAAAACCCCTTTTTTTGCATGCAACCCAATATCCTGGATCTTGAAATTTGCACGATTACGTGCGCGGAAAGAGAGCCGCCGGGTTGTTTATGACAGGCTCATGTCCCATTTTCGTCATTTTTCTAGGGATAGCTTTGGAGGATCCAGGGATACGAACGGCCTGTATGTAACGCTGTTATATAGCCACTATTCTCAGGTCCAACAAGAAGAAACTGCACAGCAACTCACTTGGTGGACCCTTTCTCCGAGGATGCCCCTTTCCGCGGTGAACCGCTCGGGTAGAGTTCGGCTCCGCGGTGGGCGGGCAGAGTGGCTGAAGATGGTAGACTGGATTGAAGTTGGACCCCCTGTAATTGGGATTGAAGAACCTTTGAAGTTGGGGAGTTGTTTCATGATTTCCGCAGATCTTTGGAGTTGGGAGATGTTGGATGCAAACTTTCCATCTTGCTTGTATGCCGTCAAGTTATATAGACCCTCGATATTAAAAAAATAGATCCCCACTAAGAATGTATTGGAACGCGTTTCATAGCGTTTCTATCTATTTGGGGACCACTATAGGTGATGCTAAATGTGATGCACCCCCTTAAAAGCCAGTGTTGCTAGCACTGTGTGTGCACATTCGGAAGGTGGGAAGTCTCAAACGGGCGCTGCCAAGCTATTGGACGACCTGCTCAAGAAGGTGTGGATTTCCTGCGGCAGGTCATGTGGCTGATCACCTGATTTTTTAGAAGTGGTGATCTTCGGCGTTTGCTGTTTGTACATGGTAGAGCGGGTGGTGGAGGCTTGTCTCCCGGGTGCCAGGGTGCCAGGGTGCCAGGGGTCATACCATCGCCCTGCGCTTGTCCATTCGGTCGGTATTTGAGCACCGCATGAGACCTGTTGAAGCTCTTCACGGTCGGGACATCCAGATCAACGCGGTCGGCCGACCTGATCATCAAGGGGGACCTCACCTGACCCCCTCACCTCCAAGTCATGACCATGCATGACTGTCTTGGGGGGCCTTGGCGTTTTTTTGCCAGGTAATGCTCTTCCAGTGAGTGGCTCTACATACCTTGTCATAGGAACATAGATTGACAGGAAGGTAGAAACCAATGGCAGCCACTAAAGGAAGAGTCCTTTGAACTTTGGCACTTGCATGCTAGTCCGTCACCTATGACTGACCTTATACATCCTTATACTATTATAGCTTCATCATGACGTTGGCATGCTTTGTCACATGACGGCTTATCACTGGACCAGGTTTGGGCGAGGGGAGTCTTTTCCATCCTATCGGAAAAAACACAACATTATATCAGGAAACATATAGAGCGAGTTGGCTCTAAATATCTCTTTCCCTTAAGAGTTCAACGATTTGGCACCGCCTAAGCAAAGGAAATTCAGAGTTGGCCCCGTCGACCCGCTCCCGCTCCAGGTGGATGCCGCCCAGAGGCCCGAGATGCCGCGGGCGACCGCCTTTGAAGCCGGCGAAAGCTCGAGCCAAAGCTCCGTTGAGTTCGGTGCTAGAGCCATGAAAAATCATGAAAGGTGCTTGAAATTGTGGCATTTCTAAATAATTCAACTACTAGTTCAATCACGCCATACTTTCCTTAGAATAGACTTCATGAAATCAGGTTCAACTGATTCAGAAATGAAGAGAAGTTCCCCTCTTGATATCTTGGAATGACGTATATTTGTGGGGGGCTCCTGGCATCGCTACTAGGAGCGTTCGGACGCTACGATCGGGGCTCCTGGCCTTACTACTAGGAGCAATGTTTGCTACTAGTAGCAAAGGGCATCGCTACTAGTAACAAGAAGCTACGATTACTAGGCGTCAGTGAGGAGGATCATCACGCTTCGAGTCCGACGCAGGCGCCGTGAGGTTGGGGTCCCTGGACGGGGCGAGAGTGAAGAGTGGATCACCTGCAATGAGTACACATGGACTCTGAGAATGACACCCCCAAAAAAACCGAGACGTTGTTTTTTCTCCTCTACCAACCAGTGTTTTTTTTTCAGCGTCCGATTGAACCTGAACCAAAGAACACTAGAAGGGGTGGGTTTCCCACTCAACAAGGTTTGTCACAAGGGAAAGTGATTGTTCAACTGGTGCTGTTGTTTAGTTCAAGGTGGCTGCTTATCTACTCATGAATTTTGCATCCATCCTTGTTACAAAAGGTGCGACATATAGAATGTCGATGTCCTCGGTTTTGGGAAAGTACAACTTTGTTTGTTTTTCTTACGTAACTACGAAGTAGAAATGGACCCCAGCTCAATCCGCTGCTTGTCACTCCTAGACTGACTCAGAAACAGCCACCCCTCCCTCCTCACGCAGGGCTGGGCTCAAGTATTTTTTTTGAACAGTCCTCGAGTGAACCGCGTCGCGAGTGAATAAGACTTCACTCGCGCGCGCATGTTTTGCTCATGCATTCCCGAGGTGAACCCTAGCATGGAGTTTACACCACGATACATGGAAGGAGAGGTGCCTGTGGCCGTTCCTTCTTTCACCTACGCCAGCGACACAGTGATCGAGTTCATCACTGATGTGGAAGGGAACTGGGAGTACTTCCTCAGGCTAGTTTACAGTCACTTGCTTGCATTCGGGTGTATGCATTTGATGAGGTCACCCTATTTTAGCCTGGCGGGTGGAAACCTATCTCCGTCAGACGAGTTGGGTTGTGTCGTGGAGCCACTGTTCAGCCCAGCACGGGAAAACCATGCAGATGACCCAGGACTGTCATTCCGGTCATCCCAGGACGGTCATGGGCAATGCCACTGATGTTGCTTTGGGTAGTCGGTGCACTCCCTATCACTGGGTGGGGGGTCGAAGATGATTATTTTCAACTTGAGATGATTGATCCCACTGACTCATATGTTTCGTTCATTCAAACCACCAACCAGATCAGCACAGCTGCGCTTCAGCATGCTGCTCAAAAAAACAAGAGGTGCCATGAGGTGCCTCAACATCGAGGATGAACATTTGCTCTCGATCCTGAGATCGAGGCAAGATCGTTTGATCCCGTTTTCAATCTTCTTCCAGCGCTCGTAATTGGCCAAGGGAACTGAGCCCAATGGCCAAGTGAACTGAGCCCAGCACCAAGCCATTAGTTATTAGTTGTGGCGAATGGCACAACGACCAACAAACACCTGAGCGCTCGCCTCCCATGATTTACCACGCATCTCTGTCGACCAAACCTGGCAGCCCACACGACCTGAGTCATGGCTCAGGTAGTCAGGTCCTGTTTTGGGACGACGAGGAGCGGGGCGATTGGGGCCCTGGCATTCTGCGGCTGAAGGAGAACGGAATGCTCGTCTTCGGCGGGGATGCTCCGGACAAGGGCCCTGGGGATATCCGCTTGGTGACTTGGCGTTCGAGGGGTGATGTTCTCCGTTCAGCTCGTTTTGACTACCAGGATCATCCTGGACATGGGTGTGCTGGCTAGACTACCCCACTCGTAGGTCTCCAATGGGCATCCATTGGAAGTGCTAGGTGTGTTCTACCAAATAGTCGCTTTCTCTTTGCAGAAGAGTGCAGTGTTCCTTTGACATGTCAGCATTTGACGAGAAGGATGGTATCGTCTTTGATCGGGTGAGTCGACTTGTGCAATCTTCAAAGCTCGAGCTTTGGCCGATCGCTAAAATCACCTTCATCAGGTAAAGATACTGCTGAGCTTGAAGAGAAGATATCCAGAGCCTTGGGTCTATTTGGGTGGCCGAGTATTGGGCTGAAGGGAATCCTATGGTGGGCCACCTGTGGCCCAGAAAGTCTGGCCGGGGCTGTTCGAACCACACATTCTGATCAGTCACCATGTGATCAGTCTAAATCCATCTAAATCCCGTTCTTGCTTCACCCTGTCAACTGGAATTGTCACGTACATTTGGCTGTCGGGTCGATGCCAGCGAGCCGGGAAGGTTTGTTGTTTTGTTTTACACCGCGAAATACCAACTGATTGGGGTGTTGTTTTACATTGCGCAACTGAAACCACGCGAACGACATATCTGAACATAAAAACAACAAAACAACGTTTTATCATGTTTTATCATTGTCGTTTTGGTGTTTTTTTTTGGTGGTTGTACCCCATGAGTACAGACCATGAGAGATCCAGCAGGCAACTTCCAGGCGCGGACGCTTCGGTGCACTCCAGGCACTCTGTACGGCACACCTTCACGGCATACGGTGATGACTCCTAGCTATAGCTATAGCCTATAGCTATACCTATACCCATACACTCCATGTATGGAATATGTGCCTACATTGACCGTCATCCCCTGGCACCACCCCAATTGATCAGCAGTCCTATGGCAGTCCCATGTGTCGTGTTTGGGATATCTACACTGCTCGTACCTGTCGGCCGTACCCCGCCGGCTGTGCGTCGCGCATTTACCAACGGCAGTTGGTCTGTGAGGAGCAGGTCTTCTTCATTTTGGGGAACCGGGACATCATGAAGCTCCGCTTCGCCTCGGAGCTCAAGGAGGCCACGTGCGATCCACGCGATGGATCTGAATGACGCCGATCAAAGCTGGCCGACAAAGACCCAATCCAGGGACTAGAGGGCGATCTATCAAATGACCCGTTGAACAACACGTGCACATAACCTAGCAGTTGTCGTGTACTGCCAGAAGTAGGGTGATGGCTTCGTTGGGAAGTCAGACACCTTATATAGGTGTCGTTGGAGTGGCTGCGATCCAACATGGCGAAGGGATCGGCAGTGCCATCCCCAAAGAGTAAGGCGAATGTCCCGTAGATCACCGAGATCCAAAGAGTAAGTCCTCTGAGATTTGCTTTCTTCAGAGGGAATGGTCCGGTGGATGAGCCTATGCACATCCACTTTGGCAAAAGTAATGAACTACTGAACTCGCAAGTTTGAGACGTGCAGTGCAGCATGCGCCCAGTTCTCCAAACGGTCCAAAACAGCGGCTTGCCGCACTGGTCCTCAGGTGGAAGAGCCAGGAAAGGTCTGGCTACCGACCTGGGATCCCAAGGTGAAGACTTTTGCCCCTTGGACCCTGCAGAGTTCTGCGGTGCAGTTGGAGGTGAGGAGTGGGTGGTGGTCTGGACGCGGAGTGGTGTGCCATCAGGCTTTACCTCCAAGACGTACCCGCCCTGCCTGGTTTACCTCCTGCGTGTCTGCACACCGATCCGTCGGGTTCACCGATCCGTCGGGTTCGTTTTTCACACAAAAAGCGGCACCAGTCGAGCCAAAAGTAGTGAAGACCAACGGAGATCCCGATGACTCGACTGTTGGTATGATTTGGCATGTAATATATAGCTCAGCCTTGTTAAGGTTTGTTAACCGCATGCTTCAACTCTTTTCTTCGTCATGTTACCATGAACTGGTGGGAAGGCTTCCTTCTGGCGCCTGTGGGGATACAGAGGTGTATACGTCTCCACGTCTCCACAATAGATGTATGTTCATTCCATGTTCAACCAAAAAAATCCATTGTGTAATGAACATATATAATCCACATATGTTCCACGTAATTACTATATGTTCATGGACAATTGTTCCACATATGTGGAACTAATAACAATCGTTAGTCAAAATGGATCATGAAGACCCGAAGCGTGTTTGGATTTCTTTGGGTAATGAACATATTCCACATATGTGCCACATATGTTCCACATCTGGTCCGGTCGACCGGTCCAGTCCGGTCGGGACGACCATAAATCCGGACGCCACCGCGGTCGACCGCGGGGGGGAGACGAACGCGGGAGGGTGGGTTTGAATGGCCACACTGTATAGTATAGGTATGTATAAATACGTATATATATAGTCTAGTAGGATCACTGATCATGTTTGTTTGTTTCTCATGGACTTCGGAATGTATGTTGCAAGTACACATATGAGTGAAATATGAGGTTTTCTGGTTTTGTGTTTGTATCATTCCTGCCTTGTCGGACTCTTACTTGTGAGCCGCATCAGTACCTTCCACACTCAGGAGCAGTTCTTGCAGGAGAATCCCAGCCTCCAGAGAGATGAGATGGGAAAACTGAAGTGGCTTTTGCATTGCACCATGGGCTGCCAGGACTGGCAGTGCCCTTTCTTGGATTCCGATGAAACCGGGTGTTATGGAACTGATAAAGATTGAATTTTCTGACCGGTGCTTAGTAGGGAATAAGGGAATGAGCCCCCAATAGAGTCTAGAGATTCTATTGGATCCATTCCCTCATTCCCTGCGAGACGCACCAGTCAATTTTGTCGAATGCATATAATGGGTCATGGGTTGATATGTCGGTTATTCGGTTGTATCCTGTGTTGTGTTCTAAGAGCTATCATCGCAAGGACCCTGACCCTTCACTTTGTCGCTCCTTTGGCGCTCCGCCGGCGGCTCCGCCCCAGGTAGATAAACTCCAGATAAACTCAGCACATCCTATCTCACATTGCGTGAAAAAAAACCTTAGAAGCCATCATCCCTAGGGATCCAGTCGTACCGAACCTCAGGAGGTGATTGGAGACACTCTTATGTAGGTTTTCAGGGTCCAAGTGCCTTCTGAGAAGGTACGACTGGATTGCTAGGGCATCATCATCATCATCATCATCATCATCATCATCATCATCATCATCATCATCATCATCATCATCATCATCATCATCATCCGCTGTTACGGGTCCTGTGGCGCTCTCCGGCAAAGCACGGGAAGCACCGGCTGCCTGCGCGCCAGGACACCACTTTTGACACACGCAAACGGGAGATCGCGATCCTTAAAGGAAGGGCTTCAGATGCGGACGTGCTCAAAAGCTATAGGGACTCGGTAGATTCCAGGAGTGCCTTGTTGTCGAGAAGATTCGAGAAGTGCTTTCTCAGCCAAGACCCCATCAAGTACAATTCCTATTTTGATATGTTGACTCCAGAAGTTTTCAAAAGTATTGCATAGTATTGCCAAATTTGGCTTTGGCTTAAAACTCCTAACCAAGCACCTGTACTGTATCGTTTTAGCTGAGTTTTGCTTTAACCTTTTGGATGGCACCTAATTTGGGTGGCAATACTATGATAGTAACGTAATGGAACTTGTCATGGATGCAGGATCAACCCTGCTGTCTGCAAACCATTTCCTTTGCATGTTCCATGAGTTTTTTTTTTTTGCATTTGCAGGGGGTTGCATGCTCACTACCCCCCTTAAGCTGGAACCCCTTAAGATCCCTTAAGCTCCCCTAGGTTGGTCGAAACGGAATATGGTCTTCCACCACGGGTCCATTCTCAGGGTCCATGATTAGTCACTGGGGAGAGTTTCACAGCTTGATGTGGATCGTTTCTCTACTCCGCCTCCCTACTTTTGGGGCCCACAAACCATCAAACCCCGGCTTTGAACCCACAGCAAAACAACTGGTTTTTGCATGTGAACACATTTTTTAACCAATGCTTTTGAGGGCCACTGAGTAGTTTGGGCCCAGTACACCCACCCAACCATTTCTCCCGACTCGTTCTCGACTCGACCGACTCGGGTCGGCTCTTCCCAGACCTGAAGGAAGATCGATGCTTCCATGCAATCCCAGAGTTGCTTCATGTATGAAGTACGTAATGCAAGAGTATGACGTAGTTGGGATATGACACATGACATCTAATTACCCCTATAGATGTGTTCGAAAGTTGCAACACCCAGCGAGTTCCGAGGTAAAGATCCCTGGATGTTAGAATTCATCCGCGTGGCGAAGATTGCCCACATCATTGGGGACATCCTCTTCCTGCACGGAGGGATTTGCACGGAATCCTACGGCCAAGTGCCCAGCAGGGACGGACGTTGTAGAGATGTGCAGGAGTGGGTGACCTGGCGGCAGGTGTCCGGATTGCAGGGTGGCTTCATAATAAAATGAATATACATGTGCATGAAACAGCTGAGGTATGTTGATGTGTGGGTTTGGGACCTGACTCCCCGCCGAAATCCTCTCATCGCACCGGCAGGTGAAAGAGCTGAATGCGTGGAAAGACCGACAGGTACAGGATCGACTGACCGGATCGGGGTGGGTTGGGACCGGGGTGCCGGGTGCCATGCGGTTTTACGCCCAGCAAGCTCGCTAGAGGACAGAAACCATATCAAACATTATGGAACCATTGGAGTGGTGTTCAATGTTTGTCTAGTACTTTTTAATATGGTTTTTGGGTATTCAGACGTGTTTTTGCTTTCTAAGAGGGATGTTTATGTTCAAGGTCCTTGTGGGACACACCAAGGGCCATTCTGATGGTAATGTTTGGCATTTGCCATAGCCATCCAAGAGCACTTTAAACTGGGTTGACCTGGTTTCGCAGTGCAAAACTACTTAGCAAAACATATCAAAGCATGGTAAGACCATGGTTTCGTGTTTCATCACAGGTTTATTTTGTGTTTCTTCTTTTCGTCCCTGGACCCGATAGTATGCAGCCGTGGATGTCGGATGGTCTGGATGGGACGTGGTGGGAAAACGGGCCCATCCGAGTCACAAAGACGATTTGATACATGGTCAGACTGGCTGACCCTATACCTCACTCGGACTTGTCCTTGGCTTGGGGGCGGTGCCCCCCCCAAAAAAACCTGCTTCGGACTTCTTGGCTTGGGGGTGTGAGTCATGCGGCAGGTTGTTTTCGGGACGCGTCGCGAACGCGCAGACGGGCGGCCCGGGGGTGCAGAGGGGTGTTGTGGCGACGGTGCGATGGTCACGGGGAGAGAGACGGATGGATCCCATGGATCCCAGACACTGTATGCCATATATGCCGATCAGTTGGGGTGGTTGACTGGGGGTCAATGGGGCAGCAGTCCTATGGCAGTCCCAGACAGGTTGTGTCTGGGGATTGTGATGCACCGTACACATGACACGAGAGCACTGGAGACTCGGAGGTGGAGGCAGTCGATGTCGATGTGCCAGCCGATGAGTAAACCCACAGAGAGAAAGAGAGAGTGAGAGAGTGAGAGAGAGCATCCCATTCTGTAGGGGTCAGTGTTAGTTTTTTTTTAACAAGCAAGGAGCTTCCCCCCTGCTTGGTAGTTGTGTTCCTGCCAGGGACACAACACGACGACGCGCGTTTCTGGTGTCGTGAGGACTTTTGTGAGCAGCCCTACTTCTACGAGAAAGACGGGAAACAATGCCGTGGTGGAGATGAGTTGATCATCTATGGAACTCCAGGGGCTGGTAAGAAGACGGTGATTTATCACAATCCTTTTGAGGAGCCTTGGGCAGAATTCATGGAAGGCGGTCCTGGCGTGTGTCATGACAGAGTCTTAGAGACTCTGTTTTGTTTTCAGAGTCGTATATATAGATGTCTTTGAAGCCTGTAGCCCTTGAAATGCACTTCCCATGTCGACATCTGGGAGTGCACAGTGCTGTGCTACTGATGCTACTGTGCCTTCAATAGTGTGAGCCACACAAGATTAACACCTTCGAACGGCAGACGACTGGGCTACAACGGTAGTTTTATTGAGGGTAATGCAGCTGACCAAGAGGTTTTTGAGCTGCCTGCCATGTTCTTGTGCAGCTCACTTGATGGCCCCTACTTGTGGTTGATTCCAAAATTACTTTTAATTAGGTTGATCGGGCCTATTCAGTCACAAACAAGCCGAAGAGGAGCAAGTGGACGAGTCACTGCGGACAGGATGAATCGAAGCCCAAGGTTTGGTGCAGCATCGTGCTGCGAGGCTTTTCGGAGGTTCCTGCATGTCCCAAACACGACCTGTTTGGGACGGGCAAATTGTCCTACATTGACCCCGGGTCAACCACCCCAATGTAGGCAACTATGCCATACATGTTTGGGTGTCATATACTCAATTACCATTCATGCCATGTAGGAATCCATAGGAATTGGTTGCTATAGCACCTATAGCAGCTTTTGGACTCCAATTCGGACCCCTCCAAACGGCCCGTTTCCGTCCATCGCCGCTGCTGAGGATGGAAACCCCACGCTACGCTCCCTGGAGGTGCAGAACTTCTTGAAGGGCTCAGGCCAGACACCGAGAGGACGGACAGAGCTCTTAGGACAGAGCTCCCAGATCCAGAGCTCTTTGAAGAAGAAACCTCTGAGACGGTGGAGTTCTTCTTATGGCGGTCCATAAGAACATCTGAAAGATCTTGAAAGGTGCGCATTTCGGTTGACCTACTAATAGTTTCTGGGGCCAAACAGCCTGCGGCATCCTGCGGCAACATCCTGGTCCTAGTCATGGCGTGAAGTTGCACTGGGGTTCACCAGTGTTTACAATTTTCTCGGATGTGGCCCTCCCCCAAGTGTGGTGAGTTGCGCATGTTATGGTCCAAATTATGGAGGCCCATGTTCTGCAGAGATGTGCAGACGTAAACGCATGTGGTCACGCTGGTACTGCAGCTGTATGACCCAATTAATGCTGATTGCCCTGAAGTTGTGAGTTGCTGTATTTGACGTCTCCATGAGTTTGTTTATTCGAGAGCCAACTCATGTGCGGCCAGGTATTGATCGTGTGGTCAGTGCCCTGGGAGTTTACCCGTTGGTGGTTGCGGAGGGGGGGCTCAGGCGGTGTTATGTGATCATTTTGGGGACCGAAGAACCATGACTTTACTGCAATTGGTCAGAAATTTGTGTTCTTTTTGGAATTCGTAGGCTTGACGCAGTCCGATTTGATCGACGCAGTCCGATTTTTTCAAGCGGACGCCGGGTGGCTGGGATCGCCCCGAATTGATCCAAGGTTGTTCTAGCTGATTGGGTATTGAATGGTTTCTCCCCTACCTTGACAGTCTTTTCAGTGATCCAATGTAGGCTTGATGCACATTTCAAGACACACCCGACCGCACCCTCTAGTTTCCTTTCTTTGCACGCGCCAAGCTTGTGGATGCACAGCACCTCGGTGTATCCCTCGGTGAAGTGAGCAATCTGCGGAGGGGTTCCCCGGAGCCTCTCGGCTGCTGTGCCATCAGCCTCTGGCAGACCGAGACCAAACAAGCCACGGACTGCTTAGCAGTTTGGAAGAGGGTTTCTAGTAGCAATCAGTCACCACTTAAGATGTCTTAGGGTCCACTAGGGTCCACTACACCCCGTCCAACCTTGTCCTCAGACCTCAAAACGGGACGCCATGTTCAGCCGTTTTCCCGTTAGACCCATTTCGGTGTGACCCCTCCACTGGGCCGATCGATGGAAGAGTCACAGTCGATAAGGTGAAGAGCAGCCTTCTAGGAATGGCCACCCGGGTGATAAAGGTCTACGTAAGGATGTCTTCGTATTCCCACATTAGATTGGAATGTCTTTATATTCCCCCCATTAGATTGGACAGAGGCTCAAGCAAAGTAAATAGCTAAAGTATAATATAGCAATATATAGCTCGAGTCATCTTGAGCCTAAGCAAGCCAAAGCTATCTCCATGTATCTCCCAAAGCTTCCTGGCTCCTACACCAACCTCGCGTGACATTTCATGATGTTGACTGGACCAACCCCACCCTGCAGCTGGAACCCCATGCGAGGTGGGCACCAGCCTCATGGACAGACACCCACCGTGGTGCGCCACCCCAAAACGGGGCTCTTGATGATCACCGCGGACACCTCACGCTCCGACAACAAGGCACAGTGTGTGAAACGATCTAGAGATGTTCAGAGTCTGAGATTGTTGTGTGAGAAGTGGATACATAGGAAGATCTTGAGAAGTTGTAAAGATTTGCAAAGCTGTTTGTTCAAGCTTTTTTATGCTGTTGCTTTGGAGCCTTAAGAGTCGAAGAAAGCGCTGTTTTTCGTCCAAAGCGACGGCCAGGCCAGCAAGATCTTCAACCCGGCTGACAACCGTGGCACCTGGCTGGCGTAGTGTTGCGTTGATCGCATTCCTCCTTGGTCCACCCATCTCTCGACTCTCACCCCATCACCCCAAATATGCGGGGTCCGTGTAGTGAGCTTTGGGCGCAGGGGGTGCTATCCTGAAGCAAGGTGAATTCTCATGAAAGCATCATAATATACCAGTGATGTGGCTTGTAGTGTGTTTCACTCGATTGGACACGTTTCCAGCCTAGTCTATAGAGTAATAGACTTATAAACAAAAAGCACATCCGAAACAATTCCCCCGGCATCCCCGCGCGGATCGCGCGTCACATGTGTCAAACAACACACACCGCTCCGCTCCGCTCCGTGCCTCCGCAGAGCCTAGGCATCGTTTACAGTTCCGTGCGTCTCCTCCCCGAGACCGTGGAGATTGAAGGTCAATTGGCCGATGGCCGCTACCATCGTTGCTCTGTACACCGGACCCTTGGACGCTTTCGCCTTCGGGCCGGCACCCTGGGGAGGAGCAGGGATGCCAAGCAGGTGGGGCATGGGATGCCAGGCATTTTGGGGGGAGAAGAGGCAAGTGATTTGCACGCCGAAAATGGGGGATTTGGCGCACGCTTTCGGTAGAGGCGCTTGAGGATGTGGGGTGCTGCCTCATCACTTCCAGCAAGCGCAACCTACATACATCCTTTAGCAAATCAGGGAAACCATGGGAAACCAAAGCTTCTCAGGGCCTTCCAAGCCAAAAAAAACTAGGGCGGACCCCAAAAAAACGCTCCAAAAACGCATGGCTGCCAGCTTGGCAGTGGCCTTCCGCCTTCCGTTGCCACACCGTTGCCACACGCCTGCCTTTCGCCTGCCTTTAGGAACCCCAGCAAAGATCGGCTCCCTGATGCACTGGTGGGCCGGCAGCTGACTGACGCTTGGACGACTGGGGCGTAGGGCGGGCTGACCCCCAAGCCACGCTGGAAGCTGTTGAAAAGGGTCCACCAGGAACTGACCTGGTTATTAACAGATTGGAGCAGGGCGACCTCGTAAGTGTAGCGACCTTTGCAGGGTATCAACAGTCAGAGTGCACGTTATAAGCTTTATTTGGGGGCCAGCAACATACACACTCACGCAGGCACACACACACATGCAAACACACTTCAACATCTTGGACGCACTTTTTGGAAGGCCATTCTCGTGTACAGATCATTTGTGCTTTGGATTCCAGGCTGCATTTCTTGCAATCTAGCACCTGGCTGGCAAGGTGCCCGCTGAAAAACGGAAGATGACCCCATAAGCTGCGAACCATCGAGGGAAGGTTGCACCCTTTGCCGAGCACATGAACACCATGCTCAGCCGTTTCTTCGCCCTAAGGATGGATCTTGGGTGAAGACGATTCTAACTTCGCCCTCTGAGCCAGCAGTGCATCTGGTACAGACTGCGCTGGGGAAAGGCTTTAATGTAAAGGTTTGTGACATGTCAGAGCACACCGCCTGCCTCCAGCTACGTCCCTTAGCTGCCAAGATTGGAGATGGGAGATGGCTGTTTGGATGTCCATCGCAGGAGATTTCAGCCATGTTATACAATTTGAATCACTTACTGTAGATTAATATTGAATTGATTAATATATATATAATATATAATATATTATAATATAATATTTATATATGTATATGCTATAGGCAATTGTTTCGGGAGTTTGTAACCAGTCCCTGCCTGGTCTTTTTTACATAATGACTTGGCAAGTGTGGAGTTCCAAGAAGCACCCTTGGTCCCCCTGGGCATGCATGTGCATGCTGAAGATCGATGCATATGGTTTTTCATGCTCATTCGATACCCATGTCCGACTCCAACTTCAGGTGAAGAGTTCAAGACCAGCGATATCTTGCGGGTGAAGATCCGCGACTTCCGTGGGGGCAGCACCTCCGCCATCTCACTGGAAGATTGCCGCGACGGCGATTTGACCAGCGCGCACTTCAAGGACCGATCGGCCTTCCGTGGCCGAGGCCGTCGCTGAACTGCACGCTCGATGCGGTGGCTGCCGGGCTGCCGTCATGCCGTTGGTGCGAGGGCAATGACAAGACACCGCAGAGCCCCGTCTCCTTGCGGAGGGTGAAAAAACACATCAGATCCAGGATAGATTCATTCGGAGTAACCTGATTCAACTGCAAGTATAGGAACTCGTGGTGCCACTTTCCAAGACAGCCACGTAATAAATTAGCTTCAGCAGAATGTTATGTAGAACCAGCTTGCCAAGCTTCGCTGTCAATGACACCCGGGAGGTCTCAAGTAATTAGCGCCACTCTCCTTGCCGGGAGGACCGTGATTTCACGGTGAACACGGAGGAGTTTTACAGGCGCAGGGAGTGGAGATGGGAAGAGATCAGCTGGTTGGCCACATGATGGGAGATAGGATGATATGGGAGTAGCAAACACCTTGGCCACATGGATTGACGAAACGCATTTTTTGTGTGTGCGTGGCGTTTTCCCCCCGCCAGCCATTCAGAGGTCTTCACCATTTTCCCCAGAACGAAAGCACGACTGAACGAAGGCGTGCAGCATTGTGCAGCTCAAGAACTCCAGTGTGCTTGTTTTGAACCTCATCATTAGCTCCTCCCTCCTCTCAGCCTGGCTTGGGCTTTTAATAGCCCACCGACCCATCCCACCGACCCTATTTTGGTTTCGACACCGCCAGGTGCGACACCTTCATTTTCGCGATGATGGGCGTCTTCGGCGATCCCAAGACTCCCTTAGGCATCGAGATTACGCGCCTTTGAACGCAGGGGGTTTGCTGTGGCAGGTTGTGGGGTTTTGTTGGAACTTCCTGGAACTGGTGATGATATGACATGATATGACTCACAGAAAGGAGGCGTCCTCTCTCTCGTGCTTTTAGAGTTGCTCCGTGTGTTTAATCAAGCTGTGTCGGAGTTTTACTTTGATCTAGCAAAATGTCCTAAACCGAGCGCTCTCTCTCTCTCTCTCCATCTCCCGCTATTTCCCGCTCTTGTAATTTTTAAATGTGGCATGTGAGTTACTTGGAAGATCTTGGAAGACTGTCCAATTATACAATATTATACAATACATCGATAGTTACATCGATCCTTTTCCCTTCCCCCTGCATGACACCAAGGAAGCGAGTGAACGACTTAATCTTCAAAGGCTGCTCAGATGGAGAGGGTCAGCAGGGCGGCAGCCTGTGTTGTAAGGGTCCAGAGCTGTGTGATCTGTGAGAAACAGGTGGGTCACCTTTTTCCATATCAATCATGCACTTGAAAGAAGTGGACATGGTGGTGTATAAGGTCAACTTCCTTAATGTTTTCCCTATATCTATCAGGGGTGCTGATTTGGTGGCTTGAAGCATCATGTAACAATGTAGCGGGATGCTTTCTGGATAGCTTTGATAGCAGTCACCGGTACTAACACTCTTTCCCTTTGACGAGACCTGCTGCCACTGTGTAGCGACAAAGAGCGGATTTGGGTTGGCGTATGTAAAAGTCACCTGTGCTTTCCAGTGCCACCTCCTTAGAGGGTTTGCAGCTTAGTGACACTTTCATATATATATAGGTGCAGTTATAGGTGCTTTCAACACCTTCAACACTTCCCGGCTTTCCCATTTGTACAGATGGAGGCCCGATGGCTTCTCAAAGACTGGATGATTTTGAGAAAGGACATGCACACAAATCAACAAAACAAAGATCCTGTGAGTGGGGGTGTCACACATTGCGTTGGATATTGCATATTATTGAATGCTTTGACCCTGCCTACCTATACTTGGAATTCATGTTTGGAACAGCCAGCTGGCGTAGAGAGCGCTGTCAGGTAAGAGGGTCATTTGGATCACCAACAACTCCAACAAGACCCGAACTGGGTTGATGAAGGACTTTGTTGGGCCACGAGTGTCGGTATGTGTTGGAAGTGGTTGCGTGGAGGTGGGCGGAGAGCCTTTTTGCTTATTATGTTATGTTTGTGTTGTGTTATTTTTTTTCAGTTTTGGTGATCCCTGTGAGACTTCCAGAGGCTGTGCCTGACATCCGCTTTACTAAAAGCCCAGGTTTTGACTTGGAAGATGGAGCAAAACGAAGACGGAAGTCCCCCACTTCTTTTGAACCTCAAAGAAGGTGGATGAACCATGTTCGGACCACCTACCCACCTGCCTGCACCTCCCTGCCGTCGGGTCATGCATCGGACCTCTCGTAGTGCATCGAGAGTCAGCACTCCAACCAGATGCAGCTGGCTTTCGTTGCGGGCAGTGGCACAATTTAGGACATACACAAAAAACCATCAGAGAGATGGAACAAACAAACACACAGACATGCACAGAGAACATCGATACTATAGCAAAGCCATTGCTTCGTAGAAAGTCGACGACATGAATATACACAATTATAACCCATACACTCCATGTATGGAATATATGCCTATATAATCCTATATATATTGACCCCCCAAACCACCCTGCTTGATCGGCAGTCCGCAGTCCCATGAGTCGCGTTTGGGATATATATAACTAACAGAAACATCACATACACAACGTGATCCAACCGTGCTCCTGGCCTTCGCCAGGAGTTGGAAGACTATTATGGCATCAAGGTCTTTCACACCTCGCTCTCCCGGACCCTCTCCCCCGACGGCTGGCAATCCGAGCCCGACCCGCAGAGTGAGCTGCGTAAGTTGGCGCACCTGCATGTGGTGCAGCTCGGCGACCGTGGGCGACCGTGGATGTCTCTCTTTTTGACCAACCCCTAGGGCTCCAACTACCTCCTGAGAAGGTGGTTGGGGTGGGTGCCAGGGGGTCTAAACATCTTCTGAGGATATGGTTTGAGGAGTAGGTCCCATCTAAAGATATGTTTGGGGCGAAACGATGCGGTGCACCACAGATGGGCCGGAATATTATTTTGCTTAGAGGGTGATGGAAGCGGGTCTCACTGCATCAGGACGTTGTGTTGGGATCGAGGTTTGGAGAGAATCCTTAATGATGCTTCGTGAGTGTAAGGCAAGCCCATGCATTGCCTTATGCTCTCCAGGTTGGAAGAGGGCCATTTGGGATGTCAACGGCACATTGTTCAGCATGCAACATCCGTTTGCATGTCCTCCATGCAGGCACAGCATGCATCTAGTCATGTTCTCCATGTCAGTTGGTGCAGGATTGCTTCCACAGTCCAGGCTGCTACACATCTTGATCTTCACGTCATTTGGGGCATCGAAGAACCTTCGAGACAGCACACCAGACTGCCAGCCTTTCCGACGCCCGACGACCTGTTGAGATCGTCCACTCCAGACCCACAGAGTTGAGGACCTCGTCCTTTACATGCGCCTGGTTCCTGAACCAGAAAGGCTCGGTTTCTGCCAGGGCGAAAGGTTGGGAGCTCGCGGAGATCAGACGAGACGGAGCAAAAGATGAAACGGTTGATCCTTTTATGCCAATCTCAACCACCTGTTGCACCTAAAGGTGTCTCCCAACCAAGGGTCACTTCATAAGATACAATCGGCAAAGGGCGCGCTTTGGCCATGCACAAGGGAAGCAAGTTGTGCTCATGTTGTGTGCAGCAGGCTCGAAGCTAAGCATTTCTACAGTCCGAAGTAGAAAACACACTGCAGGCCCATCGGGTGTCCACAAAAAGTAGCAAGTAATCAAGAAGATTGAAACCAGTCAACATCAGTTGTACAGTGCTTGACACATGATGTTCATGAGCGCATTGATCAATAGACTTCAATAGACCATAGTTGGCAGCTTTCAAGGGCAACTAGAAAGAACAGTGACTGCATGTCACTACGTCCCCACATGTCAAAGGTTTGGAACCTAATTTCATGTTGCTTGAAGGCCTTCAGCGGCCCTTCGTCATCACCTCCAATCGCTCCATTTGTGAAGAGTTGGAAGGCCGAAGCACCCAAACGCACAGGAAGACACCAACGACAAATGTTGCTCCATAGACTCTATCAAGTGCTGAGCTTGTGTGTCTCTTTAGTGTGCTGATGTTGTTTCTGGCTTCTTTTCGTTCAATCCAACTACAGTATATCAAACTTCGTGCTTAATGATTTTTGTGGTGTTTGTTCAGTCAGACCCCAAAAAACGATAAAAACGCAAGTGGCACGTGTGTTCTTTGATGTGGTGCGAGGAAATCCTGCTCTCTATGTTTGTCTCGTGTGTGTTTTGCCGTGCTTCTACTGGAGGCCTTGGAATCAACAAGTATGTGGCCACCATCGGTCCTGATGGGTCCCTTGGATGCGTTCTGCGTTCGCACCCGGTGGAGAGCGGAGAGTCCCGTTTGGAGAGCGGAGTGGATGGATGCCCAGACCAATCCATATGCATGTAGTTGACCATGTAGTTATGGAAGATTTACTTAGATTCCGGGTGGAGTTTGAAGATGTTTTGAAAGGCCCCACGCGAAAACGGACCCAATTCTTACAGTTTTTGTCATGTGGACCATGTCATGTGGACTATACAGCAGATTCGCCCGCATGCATGCGTAGCCGATTTGCCCGATCGGCGCGGCCAGGAAGCCCAAGAAGGAATACCTGGAAGAGGCCTGCGGCGCGCATAAAGGAGTGTGGCGAGCACAAGGAGTGTGGCGAGCGTCGCCAAAGACGCGGGTTCTTGGGTGTGTAGGTAGTAGGGCACCCCAGCAGCAAGGTCAATCATTCCTAGGTCCACAAGCAGGTCATAGACGCATGCCACGTGACATGTCCCAAGTTCTAAGAGGTTCTCCAATCAGGAAATCCGGCCACGCCACAAATTGCTGACCTTTTCTCGCACCAGACGATGTCTTTTTTTGCCACAGGTGACCAGCAAGAAGATCTGCGACCTTGTCGCCAAATACCCCGATGTGGACTCAGTGGTGATCTGTGCCCTGGCCAAAGCGGCCAAGGTGGAGCGTTCTGTTCGGGCAGCCAGAGAGTGAACACCCCGTGGTCTTTTGGGTTTCATGAAAGTTGTGACACCACTTGAGTATGTATAATTGAGTAAAGTATTGCAGAGTCCGTATCGTATCGTGATGTCTTCCTGCATTGGTGTTGGCAGACATATTAAGCCCATTGTAGTGCAAAGACCTTTGGACTCCCGGACATAGATATATGCAGCCAGCGGACTGACAACGAACATTGTGTTAAGTTGCTTGAGTTTAGTGTTTTTGCTCGCAAGAAGTGTTTTGCACCAATGTTCTTTGGAAAAAATGAAAGAAGTGTTTTGGTGTTTCCGTGGCCAAGTCTTAAAACACTTGCACAACCAATAACCATTCGACCCTTCTTCTCACCCTCAATACCCTGAAACACTACAGCCATCAGTCACAAATTCCCAAAGCGCAAGCACCAAATGCCGTTTTTTAAACAAAAAAAATGCAAGCAGTCTCACTGATCCAAAGATCAGCTCTTCTTGAACAGCTTTCGCAGGTCTTCAAACAAACTTCCTACAAAGTGTTTACAAAGTTTTGGATCTTTACAAAAAATTGACAAAGTTTTGGAATTACAACTTTTTTACCGAGTTTTTGCATTACAAAGTTTTAACAAAGTCTACAAAGTTTAAAAATAGAAATAACAAACTTCACAAAGTTTTGGAAACTTACAGTACATTGAATTTTACAAAACTTTGGAACTACGAAGTTTTTACAAAGTATTGAACCTTTAGATATCTGAACAAAGCTTTGGACATTTATCAAGTTTTGAACAAGTTTTGGAATTTTACAAAGAGTTGTTACCAAGTTATTGAGTTTGAACGTTTTTACAAAGCTTTTACAAAAGTTTTTGATGCTTACAAACTTTCTACAAAGTTTCGGATTTTGTCAATCTGTGTCAAAACTTTGTAAACTTGATTCTTTGAAAACATTGCAAAACGTTGTAAACTTTGTAAGAACTTTGTAAACTTTGTAAATACTTTGTAAATTTGTAAAAGCTGTGTAAGCTTTGTAGAAACTTTGGTGAAGTTCTAAAAACTTTGTAAACTTTCAAACTCTGCAACAACTGTGTAAAGATTGAAAAACTTTGCAAACTTTGTCAAAACTTCGTAAACTGTTGTTAAAATTGTAAACGTTTTAAACACTGAAACACTTTAAACTTCGTAAACCTTTGTAAAAACTTTGTACACTTTGTAAAACTGTGTAAAAAACTGCGAAAACTTTGTGTAAAAAATTGTAAAATGCGAAAACTTTGTCAAAACTTTGTAAACACTTGTAAACTTTGTCAAAACTTTGTGAACTTTGTCAAAAAGTTTGTAAACATTGCAAACTTTGTACACATTTGTACTAACATTTTGTAAACTTTGTAAACAACTTTTAGATGTTGTAGGCCTTCGTAAACTCTATTTAAAAAAAGACGTTATAGACTTCGTAACACTTTGCAAACTTTGTAAAACGTTTTTAAACTTCGTAAACTTTGTCAAAACATTGTAAACATTTTGAAAGACCTTGTGAACGTTGTGAAAACTTTGTAAACTTTGAACACTTTGTAAATTTCCTAAAAACTTTGTACAAATTGTGAAACTGTACAAACTTTGTAAAACTTTGTATAATGTAGAAAGAAACTTTGTAAACTTTGCAAATAAATAAACTATCAAAACTTTGTAATCGTTGTCAAAACTTTGTAAACTTTGTCGAAACTCTGTAAACTTTGCAAGACTTCGTAAACTTGGCAAAATCTTTGTAAACTTTCCAAAATCTTCAAAACTTTGTAAACTTTGTAAAAACTTTGCTAATTTGTGTAACAAAAGGCAAATGTCGCAAACTTTGTCAGAACGTTGTAAACTTTGTAAAAACTTTGTAAACTTTGTAAAAACTGTGTAAACTATGTAAACTTTATAAAAACTTTGTAAAACTTTGTAAAGTTCTGTGAAAGAAGTGTGTTTGCACTATTTTTTGCTTAAAAAGAAGTGTTTTTCATGTCTTTGTTGTAAACATAAGTGTTTTTCACCAGCCATTTGTAAACTTTGTAAAAACTTTGTAAACTTTGTAAAAACTTTGAAAACGTTGTAAACACTTTGTGTGACTTTGTAGACTCTGTACAAATTGAAAAAATGTGTAAATTCCGAACTTTGCAAGAACTTTGTTAAGCTTTGTAAAATCGTTGTAAATCTTTCAATACTGTGCAAAAACTGTGTAAACTGTATAAACTTTGCAAATTTTGTGAAAGCTTTGTAAACTATGTAAATACTGTGTAAAGATTGCAAATGTTTGTACATTTTGTAAAAGCTCCATGTAAAAATTGTAAAATGTGCAATCTTTGTAAAAATGTTATAAACTTTGTACAAGCTTTGTAAACTTTCAATACCTTGCAAAACTGTGTAAACGTTGTAAGAACTTTGTCAACATTGCAGCAACATTGTAAAACTTCCAATACGTTTTTAATTGATTTTTTAATTGTAAAACCTTTGTAAACTGGGTAAACTTTGGAAATTGTTCAAAACTTTGTAAACTGCGTTAAAATATTGTAAAACTTTGTAAACTTGGTAAACGGTTGTAAAACTTTGCAAACTTCATAAAATCTGTGTAAAACTTTGTAAACTTTGTACCAACTTTGAATTCTGTGTAAAAACGTAGTGAACTTCGTATAAACTTGGTAAACTTTGTCAACACTTTGTAGACTTTGTAAAACATTTTTAAACTTTGTCAAACTTTGTAAGCTTTGTCAACCTTTAAACTTGTAAAACTTTGTAAGAACTTGGTAAAACTTTGTTAAGACGTTGCAAAATTCGCAAACTTTGTAAAAAGGTTTACAAACCTTTTACAAAGTTTTGGAGTTCTTAAAATTATTCTTCAAAGTTAGAGCAACGTTTTACACAGTTTTAGAACGTTTACAAAGTTTTATATTTTTACAAAGTTATACAAAGTTTACAAAACTTTCACAACGTCTTAAGAATTTGTACAAAGTTTGCAACTTTTGCAAACAGTTGACAGAGTTGTTGAATTAAAAAATACAAAGGTTTACAACGTCTACAAAGCTTTTACCGTGGCCGTTCACTCACCACTCACGAGACAAACAAACCTATGAAATAGTCCCTATGGGTCTCGTATGTTGCCACTAACAACGCAAAAAAACAAGACGTGTTTTATACCCTCTCTTAGTTCTGAACAACCAATTCTTCAGAGGTCCGCAAGGGTCAAAAACACTTCTTCTGCGCTAATTCCCCCGAAACAACGAACGACGGCCCCCAAGCAACTTAACAGAACATTGGGGTTCATAGATGATATACTATATTTTCATATGGTTTCGTGAATTCTCACTATAGACTAGCTAGTAACTAGCATTAACTAGCAGTCCAGGCTTTCACGGGGTTGGCTAAGGGTGGCTGCTTTTGTGAGAGTGTTTTGGTTAGTGGCCAAACACTCCACCCCACACTTGGTGCGATGAAAGTGTTGAGTGGGGGGAAGTTTCGCCCTCACTATCAGGATTTCCGAAAGGATCCATTCATATCTATTCATATTACCTGCGGCAATATCCACCCACTCTCAATCCTAGCCTTATATGTCCTTACAAATCACATCACAACTAACATCCATTCCACCACGCATTCGTTCGGAGTCCACCGTGCCGTTCCAGTTCGTTTTATCGGTGCCGTTCCGTTCGGGTACGCTCGTCTTCGCACCGCCCCGGCTCCCAGGTTGGGATCAGCACTTCACTGCTCTGAAAATCGCCGTGGCGACGCAGTACCTGAAGTGGGCGCAGGACCGAGCCAGCGAGGGAAGCTACGCGTCGTTCCTTGCCGCCAATCTCTCACTTCGGTGCGCCGCACTCCGGGGGGAAACAAACAATAGACATGATCGAATGGTGCGATCATGCGCGATCATGGGAGCCATCGCACTGCGATCCTGTGGGACATCGCTGTGGTCGTTTCAGCGGTTCCGGGACCCTGCCGCCCGGGTTCTCGCGTTTCTATACGTGTTTTGCCTACCTACCACGGCTCGGTGCCAGGACAACGGGCAGGAGTTGCCAGTGATCACCTGCTCAATGGACCGGAGCGGCATCCTGGGCGTCACCGAGGAGAAGTTCTGCTTCAAGCAGGCGGGAGCTGCGGAGCCGGAGCGGTGTCCGGAGCGGGAGGGGACCGGATGGACAGTGGGAGGCGGGGGGAGTGGAAGAGTCTGGAAGTTGTTTGGAGATGGAAGATGAGTCTATACTGTATAAGTTACTAGTTTGTATACTATAAAATGCTATAAATGTCATAAACTGTATATATATATATATTTACAGTCTACTGTATGTATGTGTTGTTCTGTATTCATATGTATGCCCTGGGATTGCAACCCATTGTTTGAATGCACTGCACATGTCTTTACCAAAGAACCATGGTTTTACTAGGCATGTTGCACTACAGAACTAGGTCAACCAATTTGGTCTTGGCAAAAGCTCTCCCCAGAAAGAAGTTTGCGCGGTCGCCCCAGTCGCCCTAGTGTCTTCATTAGACTCGTTGATTCTCACGATTTTTCCTCCTATTAGCACACGGAGCCACTCAAGAGAACTTATTGTTCAGCTCAAGTAGCTCACTTACTAGAGGCATTTTCCAGGGCGTAGGCAGATACCAGGACCTGCTAAGGGGTGTCTATCAATAGGTTCCCTTTGACATTGAGGGGCGTCTATCAACCCTTGTGGGTTCTGGAGTCCTGTTTTAAAGATATCCCTTCGCTTCGTCCAGGGCTACAACGGCAAGAAGATCCGGGCCATCGGAAATGGTGTGATGGCAGCCTCCATCGTCCAATCTTCGGATATTGATGCCCAGCTGGAAACAATTATATTATACACACTCTGACTCACAAACATGAAAGTGGAACCCCTTTTTGGAAGACAAGTTTCGGAGTATATATATATAATTATATATATATATATATGTAGTGGATGCATGATGCATGCGTTGTGGTCGGGGTAGGTAGACACCGCTCATTTTGGAAGTTCATTGTCCAGCGACTCGCAGTGGGCCAACACTCGCTGACGGAGCCAAAGCCTTGCCTTTAAAGGGCACTTCTTTTTCACACTGCTTAGGCTCTATAGACTATAGAAGTGAAATCCCGGCCATTTAAATATAGATTTGTCATGTGTTATTTTTATTTGGCTTGCAGGCTTAGGGCCTTTTCCAACATCAGCGTTTCTTGGGGGTCACATGATTTTTTGATAGATTGAGAATGGATGAATGTGGGCATGGTTTTGAGTCCCAAGCTTGAGGGCTTGAGGTAGCATGAGATAGATACCGCTCCGACCCTTACAGCTGTTCCAGTGTGCATCCAGCGGCAGCCCAGTGGCCGTTCCAGCGGTTCAGATGCTCCCAGCGTCAGATGATTCCGAGCATCTTTCGGATGGCCCATCACGCCACCCATCGTCCAAAATCCGGTAAACCGGTGAAAACGCATCGATCAACCCGTGATGCTTGAGCAGCTGAGATTCTGAGGAAGAGATTGTGGATGTGGGCAAGCCTTCCCTGATGCTTCTTGAGCAGCTGAGACGGCCACGTGAGGAGGGCGGCATGGGTGTGGACTTCTCGCGCGCGGCCACTGGGAAGCAGCCGTCTCGGTCGGAAGCGGGTTCCGCGGGTTCCGGACGTCGAAGGCCTCCAGATCTGAGAGGTCATGGCCTACATGTACCTTTGCCTTTGAGAGGTACCTTTGCCTAGTCATCTCAGAGTACCTCCATGAGGACTAGACTCTGCCTCTGAGAGGTACCAAGATGTACCAAGAGAGATGGTGAGACCATCTATCCTCATGATCTCGAAGAGATGGGTTGATGAGTTTGGTTTCTTGTCCTAGAGAAATGCATGGAGCCCGGAAATGAACCACGTGCAGGAGAGAATCACCATCTCTTTTTGTTGGGGTCAGTTGTCTATATGTTGGACCTACGACTGCATCCAAACAGCTCTTTGGCTCTTCCACATGCTTCCACATGGCGAAGAGCATTTCATTGTGTTCATGACAGTTCACATCTGGTCTTTTGTCATTGACGGACGGACCCTCTTGAAAGAAACAGAGAACCCCCCATTGCAGGAAGAGGGTCCAGGCAGTTACAACTTGCTTTGCGAAAGGCGTTTGATGACTGGTGAGGACAGTGTGTCATCCAATCGGAACGGGACCTGAATTTGCAAGCTCTGAGTGAAAAGTGAAAGAGTATGAAAGAGCAAAATCAGATCGTTCAGAAAATGTTTGTATATAAGATATTCATGGATATTCAATGAACTGGCTTCTCGGTGGCTTGCCAATTGAATGGACGACCACCATTAGAACATCAATGGATGCCATTGGATATACTGTAATACTGTATACTGACCGTACTGGCTTAAAATTGGCTTAATGACAGCCCGAAGGCGAAGGGTTTCACTGCCATGTTCCCAATAAAGACCGATGCCGACTCGGAAAAGACGTCTATCTATTGTGTTGAGGTCGTCGTGGGCAGCACGTTAAAGACCGACATCGAGTTGGCCAATGGCGGAGGCATGAAGTCTTTATTGGTCCTCAGCAACTAGGCAAAAATGAATCACTCGAAGTCTCGTTGAAAAGATCCAGTGGAATCAACATTCCTGAGCTGCTTAGATGTATGATGATTTTGTTTGGCTTCCCAGTCCCACCCTGTGAGAGCCTAACAAGAACCATCATCAGTACGACATGTTGATTTATTTTGCGCGTTGTCTGGATCGAGTGATATCCCATGGATCACTTAAAACCATATATGTTCAATGCTGCATTTATTGTATTTCTCTGTTCAGTGGTTAGGGAGGCTGGGTAGGAACGGCTGGCTGGGAAAACAGGGGGCATATGGATAAATATCCACAGGTCCAACGCTCCAAAGTCGACCAGCTGTCGATTTGTTCGAATTGCATCTCGACTGGGTTTGTCCGAACATACCTGTAACAGTCTATATTAACATTTATATAATTCTTGAACAAGGCCTACAACTGAACCATCATTCATCCACTGGATAGACCATCATAGACCCAATGTATGTTTGCTCTTTGTTGACTACTGTATTGTTTGAAGATCAGCTTCGTTCCACATGACCGCACCTAGCTACCCCTCGGTCCCGCTCACCAGTCCCACTCCCCAAAAGACCAGAACACTGTTTTAGAGCATTGCGCGTAAGAGAAAGGCGACCCCGCCAGAAGTGGCGGGACCTGGAATGAAGTGTTTTTTTGCAACACAAGTGGATTCCTCAAGATTTGTAGTCCATCGCAGCGCTCAGGTGGGGTCACCAGCATGGATGAGGTAAAGAGAGAAGTGAACCCCATGAGGACTGTGGATATTCGCTTCGCTTGGCTGTATTTTCCGCATTGATTTCCATTCGCTTGAGACAATTTCGGGCCTTCCAAGATCCCAAAGATCTGCGCTGCTGCGCGGTTCGTTCCCTCTCGCTTCGAGGATTCCCACATGGATCGCCGACAACTTGGCTGCCATAGGTATGCCAGCACCACAACATGAGTTTCACTGACTGACCACGTGACCCGCTTTCACCTTTCGACACCAAAAAGAGGCGAAGTCGGCGAAGGTTGGCCGAGGCGAGCGCGTGATGGTTTGGCTGATTCGGACCTGCGGACGCTACTTACTCGGGGCTCCTGGCCTTACTACAAGCAAGAAGCTGCTAGGAACCAAGAGCATCGCTACTAGGAGCAAGGACGCTATTAGGGTGGAGGCCATCGCTTCATTTTTTTCGGGAGCGACTTGCCTTGCCGAATTTGCTCCACGTTTGTGAAGAGCTTTCTGACGCGGAGCGTGAGGTCGTGCGGCGCGTGGTCGGAAGTGGGTAATATTTGGATCGATGTGGGGTGCGGAAGTGAAACTTGGGCCCAGACTTCTGGACGGGTGTAGAATGTATACTCCCAGAATCATGGTTTCGTGGATGGCATGAGTGGTGGTGTTTCCACTGCCATGATTAGTTCAGGGAGTGTACTGGGTGATGGTTTTCAAAAGATTGCTTTCTACTCATTCATTGCCACTCTTCTGAAGAGTCTTTACGAGAAGCATTTACACACCCCAAGCTTGCACTGGCATTTCGGCACGGGTCTTTTTCAGCGTATTCATGTCAGTGTTCTTTCAGGAGAGCTTCATGTTCCACTGCCAGATATTTCAGACCTTGTGCTTAGCAAGCTGTAAGAAGATGTGTTGAGGCTCCTTACTCCAAAGGCCAAAGGAAGCAGCCACTGGGCTTGGTCGACCCGCAACGCATGGCCCATCTCAAGGGCCTTCCGCTTGGTCGACGAGGTGGCACCCACGAGTACGACCACTCAAAAAAGTCACAAACCACGCTGCACTCAAAACTGCAATGTGCACATTCCGTGAAAGAATCATGGAAGTTACAGGTGGTTGCGCACGGAACATGATTCTTTCAGGGAGTGTGCTGGGTCTACCTGCCTCCCCTGTGCTGAAACGGCCCCCCGGCCCGACGGCATCATCGGCCGAGGCCAACGAGTCCAGGCGCCGGACTGCGCGGTGGAAGAAACTCACCCAAAACCTCCACCTGTGCCATATCGGCCAATCAGTTGGAGGTATATATTGTTTTTTTACTTATTCTCTATGTCCCATATGAGCAGCTTCAAAAACCTCTATGATGAAAAGTATGCAAACTGTAATCTCACGTTCTTTCGCGAAAGCCAAAACGCAGGTCGCGAAAGGTTCGCGAAAGCCCCGCGAAAGAACCCCAGAAGAACAGCGTGGCGAAAGCTTTCGCGAAAGTCGAATTTCTTGTGCATGTCGTGTTGTTTATGTGGGTGACCATATCTTTATGCAGGCAGCCGCAGCAGGCCAGCCAGCCAGCCAGCCAGCCAGCCAGCCGCAGCAGACCAGCCAGCAGCAGCAGCAGCAGCAGCAGCAGCAGCACTGAAGAGCAAGTGTTTCAGGGGAAAATCGAAAAGCCCAGACGAATTTCCGCGAAAGCCGCGCGAAAGCCTCGCGAAAGAACCGCGAAAGTCGAAAATATCCGAAAAAGGTATCTGGCCCCAGCAAAAAGTTTCAGCAAGTTTTCCTCCTCTTCTCATGACAACAATAATACTTGAACGGTGCTGCTATAACTCCTTGTGCCAGGATGTTGCCGGAAAGAAATTTGTTTGACCACCCTAAGGACACTTATATCGGATAACTTATATAGATTAATCACTTTATTGTACAATATCCCAATCGAATTTCCCAATCGAAAACGAATCGCCGCGAAAGCCGCCGCGAAAGCCCCACATAACACCACACCTTCCGCGAAAGCCAGAATGCAGACCGCGAAAGCTCCGCGAAAGCTCTGCGAAAGCAAACCTGGATTATACAAAAAAAGTAATAGGGGTTTTCGAAGCTGCTCATATGGCGTGTTTGGGAATGGATACTGGTTTGCTAATGGTTGCTATGCCATAGCAGGCAGGGGTACCAAATGTCATCCCTCAGCGCCAGGTTTGAAAGGGCTCCAGCCACCGGTTTCTCCCATGGGCGAGCTGCTTCTGTCTCCAGCTGGTTTGGTTTAGCAGCTTAGCATTTGGGTGTGCATTCACTCTCGAGACCTCCCAATCCACCAGTCTGTCCACTGGGTCAGGGGGTCTCCCTTTTCCTAACGCACACCCAGGTGGAAGATCGTGGCGTTCGCTTGACTGGCCCATGCATCAAGCCACGAAGTAGGGGGGGATTCCATGGGGCGAGGCGTCCCAAGTCGGTGAGATGGATCAGTACCATTAGGCTGACACATCATGTGTTAAGTGGGTTGGATAAGGTAACCTGTGAAGCAGCAACAACTAGAGGGCTTGCCTGAGATGCAGGCTGCAGAAGGGCCAGGGCTGCATACCTAAAAACATCCTTAAAAACGCATATAAACAACATAAACATGACTAAACACGTAAAACTTACCGTTATAGAAGTAGCTATATCATGTTATATCATCAATCTCCTTTTGAATTGTGCTCAAGCCGCTAACCGGTCTAGCCCCTTGTGCACCCGTCGTTCTCTTCGTTTCGGGAGCAAGCTCCGCTGCTCGCAGGGAGCAACCTGAGGCGACCCGGTGGGAGCCGGATCGACTCTTGAGGACCATAAGCCCCCCCAAGCTTGAAGAGAATTGTTCCAATTCAATTGGAGGGGGTTATGAATCAAGAGTGCAATATGGCACGGATTGAAGGATTCAGCGCCATGATTGCAGGATGATTGCAGGATGGTCTGGTGGAATGAACCCAGAATCGCCGTGAATTGATCGCCGCGTTTGATTCTGATTTTTTCCCTGGGCATACGGCGTTACGGGGCTAGGTGCGTTTGAGTTGAGTGACTAGTGGCCATAGCTGCCGTTGGATGGAATTAGAGGAGTTGTTGTAACCCTTCTTCATCCAGCCACGGCGGCCGAACAGCTGGCAGCTGCCAGCGGTTTGTTCATGCATTCGTTTGGAAAGGCCTGAAAACCAAAGGTTTACGCTGGCAATGAGCACCTGACGCAAACTTGAAGAACTGGTGGGTTTGCTAGTTCGAGCCTGACATGACATCATCTATGACATCTAGATGGTGTGGAGTTGTTGGTCATCATGCACCGTGTATGGTCAAGTCTTGAGCACCTTCCTATTTCAGTAGCAGACCTCTCATACCATGATCAACTCACATCATTAATAGAACCTGCACTTCAGATCATGTCACTTCCCAAATGCATCCTCCTGATGCACCATTGCCCTATGATACCGCCCTTGCGCCATGCAGACTTCTCACGGCTGCGGGCTGAAGCACCCACCAGACTCAGACCCTCCGCAGCTGCACGTCCGGCGCGTCCCCGAGACCGCCACCGCCGAACGTCCGGGCTTTCCGCCACGGCCGCAGCCGCGCTGGCCGCGCGCGCCGTGCGCGGCCGCGCGGGCGCGGAGGCTGCCGTGCGCCCAGAGGTGAAAGGGGATGAGATGCAGCTGGTGGCGGTGCGTGAGGCGGTGGCTGGAGAGGCTGAGCGACAAAGATGGGACAGGTATGTAGATGTAGAATTCATGCGGAATTTTGATTGATACATGCCCCACAATTTGGATTTTGTAAAATTATGGGTGGATTTATTAATCAAGATTCTACATGACATAGAGTCGGTTGGATTGGAGGGATTGGGGAGTGATGGGGGGTCCCTACTAAGGAATCATGAAGGTTGGATATCCAGGGAAACGTCTTGAATGGAATGGATATGGATCGTGTCGCTTGACACCCTTTGAATATCTTTGAATGGACTCACATGTGCACGGCCTAGCAGTCTCACAACGCTCACATTAATTAATCGCCCAGATGTTCCGTAGTATATATTGAACACTTTGTGTCCCCTGATTCACTAAGTGCCACAGGCTGGCCTATGCCTATTCGTGTAGTTTTGACGCCCTTTCGATCAGAAGAGATGATATCGAACAGATTTGAGAGATCTGGAGAAGTTTATTTGTTTTTTTGGGGGACCCTAGATTGAATCATTAAGAACTGTAGATGTGGAGTGGTTGGTACTGTATTTAATGTAATATACCAATATCAAAAAAAATGTGTCCATCATTTTTTGGCTCCACATAGTTGCGCACCTGACGTCAACTTGACACATCACTATAAGCATGTGACGATCATTCTCGTCAGGCGACTCAGTTCATGGTGGGTGTTCACCCAGGATTTTGCTCAAACGTTGCAACAGCGACCTCGATCGATCTGTTCATTTCACCTGAGGAGATTCTACTTGTTGAGCCTCCAGCCTTCCTGACCTCGTCGGAGAGCAGTACAGCGGATCTGGCCAAAGAGCTGGAGGAGTTGCCAAAGGCCCTGCAGGTGCGGCGCTGGGCGAAGCGCCATGAATTTGGAAGGCTAGCTTGGCCTAGAAACATTAGAAACCAACCAAATCAACCGAGCTTGCCGTGGTCTAGTCTAGTGACAGCTGCATGAAGTAGTTTCTATGTCGTAGTTGAATGCAATTCAGTAAGATATTTTAAGTTTAGTATTTATGTGGATGGGATGCATCTTCAAACATATATGCTCCTTTTGTGTGTTGTTTTTCCTTCTTAAAGTGCTAAAGAGGCTTGGGAACTGCCATGTAGATGGCATCCGGGATCCCATCCCTTTGGAGACTGAGAGTTCATACATTGGAACATCCAGACACTGGACTTTTGCTCGAGAAGTTCATCAATTATATCAGTTGTTTTGCATTCTGCAGGGTTTTTCTCTTCTCATTCCTGGGTGTGTTTCATCCAGAAACGATGTTGGACCCCGACAACGGAGCTGGAATCATCCCAAAACCGACGGCCGACAGGAGCAGCTGCTGCAGCTTTGCTGCCACGACCGCGCGGCAGCAGAGATGAGTGGTGACATGCAATCTGCTGCCCAAGGGTGTGAGAAGACACTGCAACTGCTGCAGGCAGCCCCTGTTCACTCTTGCGCCTCATCATCTGATCCATCGCTCCGATCTCGCTCGTCCCCCTTTCGATCTTTCTGAGTGGCCAAGTTGAGGGATCCCAGTTCTGAACTGATCACTGGTGGAAATGTCCTTCAATTGGAGGCTGTTTTGGGCTTCAGAGGGGTGGAACACTTCATATCCAGGCAGCTGTGGTCCGGGGGGTGCTATCCGGGTCAACCGCCAAACAACTCTCTCGTTCTTTGTCTCTCTTTGTCTCTTTCAAAGCCAAATTCTCTTCTGAAAGTTTTGAGTGACAATGCTTGCTGAGCTTTCCAGAGCTCAACGGATATGTATTGAGCATAGGTGCTCCATGGTGCTCTTCCAAGAGCGCATAGAAGAGAACAACTCTCTATGCAGTATATCGGTCCTTTCTGGGACGCCGCAAAAGGTGTTAGAACCTACCCTCCATATCCCTCCATCATACAAACATGGAAGTGGAGCACCCCGCATCTTGGAAGACAGCTTTCCTCATGGGGTATTCAACTTCCACGATTGTTGCAGCGAGGCTACCTACTGTTTCGTTGTATGCAGACCTTTGCAGGTCTTTACGGTGAATTCCGTGGGCACACCGGAGGGCGGCAGCGCGGTCTTTCTGCGCGCCAGCCGAGCGAACCACAGCTGCCAGCCCAACGGCGGCCCGGCAACAACGGTGGATGGGATTGATTGAGTTACAGTGGTTTCAGAGTAGATGGCACAGACCGCATGATGTCCTTTAAATGGGGGTTCATATAAACCACCTCTTGGGGTCTGTGCCATCTACTCTCAATCCACTATAAAGCAAAGACCCAGCCATACCCAGCAGGACCACTCAGTTTGGATGGGAAGCATGCGAAGCCCCCTCTAATAAAGGGCTATTGACTGTACCTTGGTTTGGAATCTACACTAGGGGAAGTTATGGGAAGCATAGAGCATCGAACATACTACGTGTACCACGGGTCGCTGGAGCAAATCGAAGAGTGGTGTTGCAGGCTTTCAAGGAGTAATCAAGAGTTATGTTTGTGTGATTCGTTTCTGTGTGAGGTGGCCCAACTGTTATTTGAAAGGTGCATTTGACCTATTCCTCATACCTTCAGTGCCGGCCACGACCAGAGCCAGACCTCCACTCCCCACCCAGCAGCTCAGTCATTTGAGGCTTCTTCCGCATCGCACGCACTTCTTCGGGGTCCGCACTGCGCCTGGTGGCTCGCCGCAGCCTCCGAGCGGGGGAGGAAGTCACCATCAGCTACCTCCCAGAGTCCAAGTTGTTTCGTCCCCGTGGTGTGCGACAAGCAGCCCTCGCCCATTGGGGCTTCCACTGCCAGTGCCCACGGTGCTCAGCACCCGAGGATCTTCGCAGCTTTCGCTGTCTACGGTGTGGACCTGCAGCGCGGGTGACGGAGCAAAGCAGCTGGACCTGCGGCTGTGGACATCAAGTGGACCCGGAGGCATTGGAAGACGAGTGGCGCCAAGCTTTGCGCCAGGCACGTCGCAGCGCCTCCGCAGCGGCAGCCCTTTGGAAGTCTTCGGGCAGCCTCACTGCGGAGCACTACCTGGTAGTAGAGGCCGCACGCCTGGCATCCCAGACGCTGGATGCTTCAGCGCCCAAGGCGGCGCGCCAGCGATGGCGCACAGCTAAGGCGTTGCTTGGCCTCAGCCGCACCGCAGCAGAGGCACTGGAAGCTGCTGCCACAGCGCTGGCCTTGAACGGCCGCCCTGCAGCAGCGCGTGCGGCGCTCGCGCGCGCGGGGCTCGAGGCCTCGGCGCTGTTGGGAGAAGAGCATGGGTTGTCGAGACGCCTCGCGCGGCAGCGTGGTCGGCTGGAAAAGAGTGTGCGCACGGATGGTTTCCACACTTTTTTTCCATTGTCTAATTAGATGTTTTATGATGTTTTCAACCCATCAGGTCCTGGTTGCCGCCACACCATATTTATGGTGTTGAGTCATGCTCCAAGAACGTTCCAAAAACACGCTGGGATTTGGGACAAAGCATGTGAAAACTCCTTCTCAAAATCCTGGACTGACAGACACCGGAACGGAGCCAGGTTGACAGGATGGATGGAGGCCGCTGCACGGGTGCTTTCGTAACTGGGGCCACTAGGGTCGACCACCTCGCATATGTAGGGCATAGAAGTAGGCCCTTCGCCTGAGACCCAGAGCTTGCAAGATGCTGACCGATTCGATAGGTACTGCGAGGTACTGGAAGTCACCATGGGCAAGGTTCGGCCTTCGATCTTTTTTCGTGCCAAACTGAATCATTAGGTGGAGAAACACTTTCACACCGGGGCGTTCTACAGCAATTTTGATGAATGGTGTTTAGTATGGGAAGGCTTGGCTGAGAGGATTTGTATTTGTTGGTATGTGTGCATTAGTTATAAGATGTTGTAAGTTGGTTGGTAAGCAATACAACTCGCCTCAATTTTGTGTGCATTTGTTGGTCGAGAGGATTAAAACGTAAGATTTCAACAACAGACTCACACACTCCAAGGTTCAATTCTGAAAAGGTGGATCACTGCGAGTCCATCAGAGTTAAGTCCTTTCAGGCTTGCCTGTGACAATGGTCATGGTGCATCGGTAGATGAGATTTTGGGAAAGATGTGGAAACCATACCCAGACACTCCATGGGACTGCCATATATGCCGATCAATTGGGATGGTTTGGGGGGTGAATGTAGGCATATAAATGGCAGTCCCATGAAGTGTTTGGGATAGATAGCGATGACAGGTGAACATCCCTTGAAACCTATGCTTTGATGTATGTTCATAATTGTTCATATGTTTTTTTCGATATCCAGCCCCTTGAGTTTTGTCCAGCCGGCCCGTCGACAGCCAAACGCCCAACACGGAGGCCTGATGTCGCTGTGCATGCAGAAGGATTTACAGCCTTTGACCTCAGCTGATTTTCATGAACTTGCCAACAAAGTATGAACATGTAGGCAACTCCAGGGGTGGAGCTGAAACCATTTACCTTCCAAAGATCAAAGAGCCCCTTTTGGTTTTGGGGAGTGGTATTAGGAAGAGAGATGATATCTTCCCCACAGCCTTCCACAGTGGGTTTGGTAGAGTGGTTGGAAGTTTTTTCTCCTATGATGCAAGGCAGCAAGCAATCCCTTGCAAGAAGAGGAACTAGGATTTGGTCGAAAGGATTGCCGGCAAATATTCTTGAGGTTTCCCTTTTGTCTGATGTACTCTCTCACCCCCCAAAGGTTTGATCCAAGATTCTTCAGGAGAGGCACTGCACTAGAGTCAGTGCACTTCAAGATATTCCAGCACCCTGCAACAGGTCACCAATTCCAACAACCCTCAACAGGAGACCTGTTGAAGGGTGTGGCTTGTTCCATGTTTGTTGGAGGGAGCCCCACGAAAGATCGTTTGAATGCCGAATCAGAAACACTCGGATTCGCGGATTCGCAAGGTCTTCCCCCGAGAGCCTCCGAGAGCGTCGAGATGATCAGGAGGAGAGATGCAGCAATTGATGTGGGCTTGTTGGCTGGTCAGGTGGGTGGTTGCTGCAGATTTTGTTGAGGATTGCTCTTATGATCTCTTATGTGTTTGTTTACTTTGCTACTGAATTTGAGAAAAGTATATAATATATACTTTAAAGGCCTTATATGAAAGCCGGAAGGTTGTTCAGATCTTGACAGGAGAGCCTTATCTCCCAGATCGCTGACAGCCCGAGCCTGTTGGGGCACAATGCTGCAGCTACTGGGCAGCACATATACTATGAATTGAGCCAAAAGGTCTCAAAATGAAAGAGTTCCCACCAGCAGTCACAAGACGGGGTGCCGAACTTGGAGGATATGGGTTCTTATCCACTCACGAAAAAACATCTAAAAACCATTTGTGACTCCTGGCAAATGGCTGGTGGTTTACTGTACTTCCCGTTTCGGATGTGACACCGGTGCTTCGACGGCCCAACTCCAAGGCCGGTTCCAGCCGTGAGGAGGCCGCCAGGAAGGAGCAGGAGAACACGGGCAGCGCGATCACTTTGGAAGGTATCCAGAACTGGCAGTGGGGAGTTACAGTGGTTTCAGACTAGATGGCACAAGGGCCTGACAATTCAATGTAAGTAAATTATATAGTTGATATTCACCTCCATTTGCCGAGATATGCGGAGTCTTGACACACCCAGCTAGGAGCGCTTGGAGGAGGAGCGTTTGGAGGAGGAGCGGAGTTGGCGCGCGCAGGAAGGCCCAACAGATGCTTGGAGACATCATGGGGAGTGCAACTTTGCAACTGCTATAGTATAGGGAACAAGCCCCATTATACAATGGGTGTAAACAATGGTTGCAGTTTATACAATGGGTGTTTTTTCATGCCGGTGCCTTTCATGGGCTTTTGGGTAGAGGAGGTCAGATTTCAGTGGGTTTTCCGTAATGAGGATTGGCATGGGTGACACTGGACGGCTCTGGAACTGCAGCTGCCTTGGGTGCACTTGTTTGTTTATATGCTAGGGTGTGCTTGTTTTTTATTCCCACCGGTGCGATTTGAGCTGGAGGAATGTGAGCAAGCTCCGTGTTGGCTCTGAGGACCGTTCTGCGATGGAGGAGGAACAACTGGAGGCGCAACTCCACACATTGAAGCAATTGTTTGGCTGAGACATTGGTGTCCAAACTGTACAGATCATGAGGACTTGTTCTTAACAGTCCCGTTTTGATCCTGTCTTTGTACACGTGCAATTCGTGGTGTCCCTGGAGATGTGCTCCTGTATATTGCATCCATCTCGCAGATGAAGATGTCGCTGTTAGGGCATGCAGACGACCCGTTTGTGTAGGAGTAGATCCAACTCAGTGGCCCAAGTAAATCCAACTGATCCTGAGACTGGCACCCCAGTGAGTCACCATGTTTTGTGATGAAGACTCAGATTTCAAGCTCCAAATTCAATTATATAACATCAGGAAAGAGAGCCTGCAGGGATGGAACCCTATATGTTTCGATTTGATAGGTGTTGCTTTTCGTGGTTTTCATGGCACATGCCCCAGAAAGTACATTCTCAATAATACCATCAATATACATATATATATATACACCTGAACCCTCGGTTCGCTTCACCTTTATTCCACGTTTCCACGGCTCGGGTGTCTGGTGGTCACAGGCCGAGCTCTTGGAGGCCGGCAAAACGGTCGGGGCAGAAGATGGTCCCAGGGGCGGAGGTAAGGACCAGGTGGGTGGGTAGCCAGACTGCAAATGCAAATGCTAATGCTAATGTTTATTTCTTGGCAAGACTGCAAATGACAAGACTGTCTCTGGTAAGGTTAGTGTTTTGGAATGTGTTGGATGTTTGGACTAGGGGGAGCAGCTTTTTAGATGTGTTTTTGTTGTTACCTTCCAAGTGGAGTGTTCCTTTTGGATGGTTGGGTGGGTGTTCGAAGTGGGTTTTGTGCAAGATGAATTGGCTGGCTTGGTGTCAATCATTTAAAAGTGTTCACCATCAAATAAGAAAAAAAAACAAAATAAAACACTAAATCATATACATTCGCTCTTCCTTGTACGATTAAATAAGACCATCTTCCACTGGACCTTGCCGGTGGCACTGGGCTCGGTGCATCTTGCTTCGCTCGAGGCACGGCGTGCGGTGGAGGAGGCGGCCTGGGAGGAACGACGTTGCGCCGAGGAGGCCGAGGAGTTGGAAGCCCAGGCGGCGCTGCGCGCGGCCACCGAGGCGCAGGAGGAGCCGAAGAGCACGGCCGGTGTGGCGGGATGGTGTTTGGGTGGGTGGAGCATGGTGTTGGGGAGAGGCTGCGGTGGTGGGAAGGAAGTGGATGGGGGACTTTCGGAAGAAGTGGATTGAGCTAAATTCTCTGCAAATTTTCAGAGGGGCTTATACTTATGAGTTTGACTCGGGGCAGCGGGGTAGATGTTGAATTTTTCAATACTGGGACTGACTGCATGAGTAGAAGTACCGTGAGCAATTCTTATAAACCTTCTGAGCTTCGCTTTGTGTCCGGTGGCGGATTTTCCACCGCATGCGATATGCCGGTAACAGAACTCCGAGGGAAGAGGCTCTCCCGATTTCTTGCAGGAGAAGAACCGCGCAGAGGAGCGACAACGCCTGGAGGCGAGGGTTTTGGGGGTTGGGTTCAACCTGCTTTTCCGAGAGTGAAGGTGAACCGTGGCTTCAAGCCGCTTCAAGCGTGGCTCCCTCAATGATGCCAGTCTCAATTTCCTGATTGTAGAGAAGAAGTCATATTTTTTCGCGAACGTCAACTTCCATGATTGGAGAGCGAAGGTTTTGCAAAGTGATGTTGGTGGTCAAAACCCAACTAGAGGTGATGTGGACTTTTTCCCACCTGAACGAACAGAATTTCTCATGGTTTCCGCTTTGTGAAGCAAGACTGGCTGATGTTGCTGCTCCGTGAGCTGTCCAAGCCCGTACCATTCTTCCAAGTATATCGACGTCAAGCAAAGCCAAGCTCTTATTTTGAGGTGGACCGGGTAGAGCTTTATCCAAGGCGCTTTCATGTCGATCCCTTGGTTTTGGCGCCTCATGTTTGTCAGTGGCAAACTGTCAACGGGATGCCAACCAACGGCACAGAAGAAGCACCCCCCCAAACAAATTCCTTTGCTCAAAATGTTCGACGAATGAACGACTCATGAACCGAACAAATCCCTCTCTGCAACATCGACAACTCCCCAAGTCCAACGGGAATCCCTACAGTAAAGACCCCAAAACATCAACCAAACACATCCCAAATTGGCGTTGACCAAGGGCTTCCCACCCCTTCGCATGTTTATACATGCGTCCCATCTCAGACGGAGGCCGCTGCGGCCATGGCGGAGATGGAGGCCTTTCAGCTGGAGGAGAGGCGGGCAGCAGAGGAGGCCA